CGATCTAGTTTTGCGGCCAGGCTAAGAAGAAAGGAAATCAAGCCGTGTAGTTTTTCCTAAGTATTAACTTTAGTTACCGTTGTTATGGTTGTTGTTAGTGGTGGTGCTGATGCTGCTGTTGTTGTTGGGCTTGTAATACTTTAACTTAGAAAAGACATAAGTTGAAAATTTTTTTGAAACCTTTTTTTTTCATTTTATTTCTTTTTTTTTCTTCTTCGCCTCTGAGATTGATCGGTGCGATGAAGTGTTTGCTTTTGCTGTCTGTCTATCCGTCTATCCGTGTGACTGTGCCGGTGTATTATATAGCAACGGATTTTCCAGAGAAACTTTTTCTCTATTATTTAGATTTTAAACGGAATTCTACTAAAGGACTTAAGCAGAGGCATAAAGCGAAGAAAAAGGCTATCGCGAGCTCGAATAGAAACGATCTCGCGTTGAAAGATGGTAGGCGTTGTAAATTACATCAAAATGAATATAAATTGATGTGTGCTATTGAAGTTATTGAAGTAACCATTGGTAAGGGGTAATTCAACAGAGTGAGAGGGGTAGAGAGAAGGAGAGAGAAATATACATTTTTTTAAATACTCATTATCTATTCTTTCGATCGTTTAAACATTGATTGAATGAATACATATATATATATATATATATATATATATATATATATATATATATATACAGAAATATACGTATGTCGGTGATTCGCTGATTGACTGACTAACAGACATATAGACAGATCGCTGCATAATCTTTGATGGCGATAATAAGTAAATTTGAAATTTGTTTAAATTTCTTCTTTCTTAGCCTCTTCAAGATAATAAATATACTAACGGCATATACGTTTAGCAGTGCAGGTAATATTTGAAATTCTTTCTCTTCTTTCGAAAGAGGGGCGCAAGAGATAATGTCATTAGCATTTTTATACCCATCACTGAAGGATCCATTCATTTTTACAAAACGTTTGCAATCCCCAGAAGGAAGCATCAGAGGCCCCACAAAGTATATATATTCTTGATCAGCATCAAATTCTGAATTGATTTAAGCATATCCGCCTGTCCCTCAGTATAATGTCTGTTGTAAACATTCCCTTGGCTGCAAAAATGAAGCTACCGACTTCAAATTTCGCAGAAACATTGGAAGTTCTTGCATGCAGGTTGGTATTGAAAATGGGAAAAATCGGTCGAAGGACACGCCCACAGTACAGTGGGAACACCTCCGTTTTTCAATAGGAATGAAGATTGGTTTTTCGCTCATTACTCATAATCTATAGCAAAAAAAATGGGCAAAAATTTAAACGCATACTGTGTGGGCGATTTTACCACGCCTACTCAATATTATAGTTTGTCAAAATTTAATTATTCTTCCAATACCTTTATAACACGCAGAAACAACCTTCAAAAACCCCGTAAAGTATACAAATTCTTGGTCAGTTACAGCTTTCGAGCGTACCTGTTCGTCCGTCCATACATCTGTTTGCGCAACTTTGTAGTATTTGTGGTAAACGCTCTGCCGTTAGCGAAGATGAAGGAAGATATCACCTAAAGATTTTTAAAAGAATTTGCAATTGACAAAAATTTTCCAAAGGACACGCCTACAACGCTCACATGCCTCTACGACAAAGACGTTTATTTTGAAAGTAGAAGAAACCAACTGTGCCCATTCCATATTATAGAGCATGAGAATTTTGTTTTTTAATTTTTTTCGTTTTTTTTTTTTGGGGTAAACAGTGATGGGTATAAAAGATTCGGTCCCGACCGAACTTAGTATTCTTACTTGTTCTACTTTCCACTGAGTTACCACGCGGAATTTAAACGCCAATAGTTACTTAGTGTCCTTAAAAAATTATGCGGGATTTTCGAAAGCACAGCACAGCAAGTCGACCATAATTGAGTTGAAGTGTATTGCACCCACATTTAATATGATTTCGTATTCTAGCAAGCCGACATTTTCCACAATTACTTTACGAAAAACTCTACAAATTGTGTGCAAAAATGGGAAAAATCGGCCAAGCGCACACAAAGTTGCAAATGATTAGATTTTCTTTTTTCACGTCTTTGCGATTTCAAGAATGTTTAAAATTATTTTATCAAAATGCCTTAATTCTAAAATAAACATGGTAGACACTACGAGTTGATGTATTAATTTTTTCTTAATAATGCCGTCGATATGGATGTCAAATCAAACGGCTTGGAGAGTAGAATGCGAAAGGCTAAGTGTGTTAACTCTAAATTAATTATGGCGGATGATAGACTGATTTTCTTAATTTTATATCGCTCACTTTTTTATGACAGTAAAAAAAGTGTTAGGGGCCAGTTGTTTTTATGTGTCGTACTACTGTCTATTACATCATGTAGAGTCGCATGGCAATATGGAGTTGGGCTGCTGTGGAGTTACATATGCTTTTGCAAACATACAAAAGAGAGTCTTTCGATTTTTACTATGTCTGCGAAGCAATGATATAAGCGATATGGACGTCGTAAAAAGTATCATTACAGAAGGTGGGACTTGGATTGGTAACGTTGCGGAAACAAGCGATTAATCGAGCGAATTCGCTGTCGATATCGCTGTGTTACGTCCTATGAATTCTTTCCGCTTGGCCAAACGGTTACTAAGTGGTAATATAATGTGATATGCATCTTATGAAATCGATGACAATGATTTGAACGATTAAATAAAGATTTTTTATTTTATAAACAAGCTCACATTATATTTTGGTCACAGTAGCACACGTCACACGCAGTGATCTCGAATTAATTAGTGGCATGTCGTTAAATTTCGAAAAAACATCTAAGAACGTTGCCTTTGCCTGCGAGAACTTGTTGTTAATTACGTTCCAGCGAACGTATCGATCTCTAACGATTTAGAACTTAGTCTTGACTTTAAGCTTCTTCTGACTTCTGTGAATAAGTCTAAGTTTTTTCGAAGTTTTATTAAGAGATAGTCTATTGAATTCGGCAAACCCTAACGTTGTCAAACATATGGATGCTTCTATTATTAGTCTTATTCCAGAATATATATAGCCGCAGCGTGTTTACTACTTTTTCTTAATCGATTGTTTTTTCAATAAGACCAATCAACCAGAGGATGTCTCCCTGACATGGAAAAAGTGCGGAAACAAAAAGAGACAGGGCATATGGGCTTAATCCGTCTGAACACTCACTATAGCTGCGACCGAAGTAAACGTCGCCGCATTTGTAATTTGGGCCCGCGAAGACTGCCACTCATGCGGAGTTTATGAATGCTATAACAATGTCGTTGACTCCGCGGAATATAAATATTTTACATTTGCTTTGCTTGAATTTTGTTACAGTCCCCGTTGCTATTATCTGCTTATCAAACAGTTCTACAACAGGCCTCCTCGAAGAAGGTGTGAATTTCTGTACTTGGTATTCATGGTCAAATTAATTAATGCGATATTTTTTTCATCATCATAACTCCTTCTTGGGTACTCATGTATTCCGTTCCCTTCAGACCGTATTATTGCCATATAATTTACTATGTACATGATCCATTTCGGTTCTCATATGCAACATTAAATGAGAATTACAATACCTTCAGGCTTTTTTCGTTCCTTCAAAGCGATAAAAAAAAAAAAATTTTACATACGTGATCTATACTCATGTAAGTGTACATATTGCCATGCATTTTTTTCATCATTTTGCCTGCGTGCTAAAGTTCATTAAGTTTTGTACATAATTATTATTATTATTATTATTATAAGTTTTTAAGTTTTTAAGTTTTCAACTTTATTATCTTTTAATTTATTTTAACATTTAACTTGAAATCTCTTTATATTTTTTTTATATAAGATTAAGCTTTTTACCGTACAAGCTTAATTATGAATTGTACTTTAGAAGGTATGACTTACGTACATTACCCTTCAATATTGTTTGCTACTGGTGGAACACTTTTTCGTAACCAACGCATGTAAATAAATAACCAAATAAATAAATAATTACACAAAGCATTCGAAAAAGTTTTAAGCAATGGTAAGTTTAGCTTTTGCTTGCTCTCAGACTTTTTAAGGTGTTGTAACTGTACTCGTATGAGTATAATCGAACGACGGTACCAAACATGCCTCTTACTCACTTTCTTGTTTGATTTTTTCCTTCTTTGAAGAGTTCAAACCATTCATTATATCGGCGTTTCGGATCATAAAATAAAAAGAAATTTTTCGTCCAGCCATCTTTAAGTTGAGTGCATACAACGTTAACATACAGAGACATACTCTTCTATATATTTTCTATGTACAGGTATATTTAATCTACACACGAAATATCCGGGATCGTTGAAAAACCTTTACTTTTTTGGACGTAATATATAAATATATCGATGTATACTAATTATGTGCGCATATTTATATACGGCCAACTATTTAATGCGTTAAGTATACTCGGAATGGCGTAAAAAATGATTTTTTCGATCGCTTGTAGTGTGAGCGTGTACATAAAGCATCACTCAATTAATTCGTACGATGACGTACGAAGGGTCCGATCACTATTGACGAATTTTGGATAGTATAAATTTTCAAAAGAAATTCGCTAAAATTTCATCCTTTTCCGACCCTTACTGTGTAAGTTGCACTTGTATTAGTTGTTATCGCACAACCTTATTGAGTGATGTATTACACACGTATACACACATATATATCATATTTATTCATACAAAATATATACGCACAGACTTATGTTTTGTATCTAAAAATATTCAGAATAGTTTATCTATTTATGGAAACGTATACATGCCAGCTTTTAGGTATGAATTAATTTTCACTTTACTTACTCTGTTTCAGTTGAATATACAATTTAAGCCTTTTATATGCGTCTATATACGAGAAATCATATAAAACTGCTCATTATATTTGCAATAATTTGTTGCGATTCTTGCTCTTCCGGTGTCTGCAATAGATTATAGAGAGATACCAGATGCCAAAGCCTCTGCTTGCTTCGGTTTTTCTTTTTCCTTTATTTCTCTTGCTCCTCTTCGTCTTATTCGTCTTCTTATATTGCTATTGCATTGTACTAAGTAAATGTCTTCTGATTAAATAGCCATCACCTGCTGCTGCTGTTGCTGTTACTGTTACTCTTGTTACTGTTACTGTTACTGACTGAAAAGATTGAGTTAAAGATTAAATTAAAATTTTACACAATAGCTTCAAAAACAATAATAACAACAAACAACAAACAAAAAAGAAAAAAAAAAAAAAAAAAAGGGAAAAAAATATTAAATCAGCTTAAAAACTATTCAATGAATATTTCAATCAATTTTCACAAAACTCGGATGGACGGATATATAGAAGCACATATTTTATATAAATAAATACATAGGTTGATAAACGAATAAGTAACCTGCACAAGGTATTGATGAATGAATTGAGATTGAAAAGACAGAAGCTAGAAAACGGAAGTTAAATCCTTTATAGAAAGGAAATTAAATATATATTTAAATATTTTTCTCTTTATGGAAGCAGACAACGTAATAGATGCTGACAAAATCAACATTATTTTCATTGGACAAAAACGTTTTTTCCTATTTCTGTTAACCACTGGTCTGAGCACACATGTCAGCCAATCACAATCATCTACGATTAAATAAACGTTACGTAAATTACTTGATTTTATATTTGCTTTAAAAATAGCATCCGATCTTTAAAAAACTTGCTTGCTGTCGTTGTTGCTCGTTATTTGCATTCAAATTTCATGTAAAGCAAAAGCCCCAAAATGTAGAAAGCGTGAGAAATGCAAAAAAAAAAAAGCTTAAGTGCAAAAATTGCCTCACCGTGGTTAGAAAATGTAAGACAACTAAAAACAACAACAATAACAACAAGCAATTTGAGCAACAGGCAAAATGAAAAATCGTTTGCATTCGGTTTGAAATGTGTTTTTTGATCGATTACTCGTATTTTTCTGCTCTTTTTTTTTTTAGTGGTACAAATCTATCACAGTTAGCTAGCGGAAGAAAAAAAGGTTCTATTCTACGGCTAAACCGCCGAGCAGAGTAAAGATCACGGCTAACAAGTTCAAATCTTCAGTACGGTAGCGTTTTCAATAAACCCGATAGTAGTCTTAGACGCTAGGGCTTTAGGAATTTAGTCTTTGAATTTTTACAAACAGTAAACATAATAGTAATATTCTAAACATTTTAAAGGTCCCAAAAAGTTGATATTCTGAACATTAAGGTTCTTGCGACGGTAAACTCTCTATAGAAATTCATCGACAAGAAGTCTCTTTGAAGATTTTCTTTTCTAATATATTCAAGTAATGTTGAGGTCCGAAAGTTACATATTACATATAAATAAAAGGCCTTGTGCATTGAAGCAAAGAAGTGATAACACAATCTCCCTCGGCAGCTCTGCTTGCATCTTGAAAATCTGCGAAGAAAACATGGAATCGCATCCCAAGAAGTCCAGATAATCCAAAATGCAAGCGCCAGGTCGCTCTTATACAACTGTTACGCATAGAATAGTTGCTCGAAATTTTGCTCTTTTAGGATGTCCGCCTCAGTAGCAGAACAGATGAGAATCGAATATCAAGTTAGTGGCCGCAGTTTTAAAGTTCGGTTCAGTGTAAATAAAAAGTCGCACAAAAAAAAAAAAGAAAAGAAAAATCGACTGCTAGCTACGGTCCCTTTCGAGAGCCTCGTGGTGACTACGGTTATTTCAAACTCGTGGGGGAAGTTAAACGATCGAATTTTATATCAGCATCCACTGGTTTACAAGGAGAGGTTCATACTTATATTCCCATTCCGACATTCGACACGCAATGGGGATCCGAAATTTGCAATTGGGGACCATGCAATTAAGCAGTATAAATGCAGGTATTCACGTAAAATCAATAGAAACCGCCTTACTACGGTATTCTTTAAATCCTAGCCATCGATTTTTCCCTAAAAAAAAACCAAAACTTCCAATCCTCGTCACATTTTTTAAAGAAAGTTTTTCATAAAAATATTCACTGGATATGGTTTCAGGTTTTGAAAACATTTTTGCTCGGGTGCTCTAGATGTAAAGTTTTCAATCGCAGCGACACGGTGAAGAAGATCAGGGATAGTTTAAAGGGAGCTGGCACGTATCCATTTTATAAGTTTTACCCTTATTTAAAAGTAAATTTATTCTAAATACCACGGTATGTGTAGTTTGCTTATAAGAATGCTTAAAAGACAAGGAAAATTCGTAGTGAAAAGTGGTTTCACAATGACGATCAATTGACGATCTTTCTTCTTAATGATCAATAAGTACGCAATGCATTAAGAAAATGATAGGGAATCATTGGCTAACGTTTGAATGCGGAGGTTCTCAAAAAGTAACTAGATGCCCTTTAGTGTAGAAATACAAATTTTTTCTTAATAATACCAGGAAAATGGGCATCAAATAAAAGAACTTGGAGCAGAATGCGAAGAGCATAGTGGTGAGTATGCGAGATTCGACCCTCCCCGAATATAATTTTCTTGTTTTGTATCAAGACTCGGTCTAGGGCCAAACTGAAGGCTTAATAGCGCAGGCGTTGAAAAAATGTCAGGCGCTTCATGAAGCTCATGTAGTCCCAAATTGGACAGCGACGTACAGATGAAAAGTGCAACAACTCAGTTCGGCGGGTTCGAATACATACGGTTTGACCTTACTACGCCGTAGATATAGTGCTTAGTCAGCTCGGACACATATCCGCTACGTTGCAGCTACACGCTATCACTTTCCCTCGTGTTAGAGGTAAAGAGAACATCTTCGGGGTGACTGGTTTCATTTAAAAAAAATTTCTGTATTGCTCACCTTCATACAACAAGAAATAATTTCACAATATGCACCTGCCACCAGCCACTGGTCCTCTACCACTACCTTCCGTTGTTTCCTTGTTGAACGCAGAAGTGTTAACCGCCAATGATAGATAAATAGTATGAAGACTTCTAAAAAACCAATGAACGAATGAATAGTAAATTGGCCCATCATTAAATGCCCTACGCCTATAACGACCACCGTATCCTATTCATATAACGACTTGTCAAAATGAGGCGTTATATAGGAAGTGGTGGAGAAAATGGTCCAATCCAACCCATCTTTAGTAGCGTTCGTCATGGGGCAAAAGTCAATGTACCAAATTTCGCCGAAATACCTCGAAAATTGCGGGCTGTAAATAACAAGACAAACAAGCATAAATTGATCGATCGATATAATAAAAACTTGGCGTATCTCTAGGCCTTCTGGGCGTTGCGCATATCCATGCTAACTTAATATGCCATTATAAAACAAGTGGAGCAGGTTATAAATACCGCTGGAATGACTTATTGAAGAGAAAAAGAGAATGTAAAAGGAAATAAAAAATTTTTTATGTTGGAATTGTTTTTAGATTTTTTTCCTCCGTAAAACACTCCTACAACGCGGTTAATAAGTGCGACGTTACATGGAAACCTTGCTATAAGAAACTCGAATTAACGTGCAAACCAGGTTAATTGGGCTTAGAAAAATCGGCGTGTGTAGTACGTTTTGAATCTGCAGTTGAGAGAAAGGATAAAAATTTTTACATTTGGCTTACCCAACTGCGTGTTGTGGCAACCAGCGTTATCAAGAGGCAATAAAACTTTAAAATACAAATCTTTTTTATCGTACAGTTTTCCAACGCCGGGGTAACGCAATTATAAAACCAGTTTTTAAGCAAACCGTCTGCACTGTTTTATTAGATCGCAGGCAATTGGATCTTAATAACATTTCACATTACACAAGGAGTTGAAGGATGATTTATTACCTTTGGTTCTACCATCTTCTTAAAGTGAAGTTGATGGAAAGTTGTTGAATGGGAACTGCGTTACAGAAGGGCTGTCGCAAGTTTCACTCCGCGTTATAGGAGTTCGGTTTTTTTAAACATATTTTCATTAATGCACGTGGCTTCTATTATATTGAGTCAAACAAAATAGGCGCCCACAGCTTTACTTTTCTCACCTACTTTGCTTTAACAATTCCTTTTCCAATTCCAATTTTCCAATTCCAAATCCAATCTTTCAGTTCCCATTCCAATTTAATAATCCCTATTGCAATTTCCCAATTGAAACTCCAATTGAAATTCCCGATTAAACAAACACAATATGTTTGTTTCACATACGCATGAGTAGACGAGTAAACAAAAGATTGCGACTAACAACCCAATGGTGGCGGATTCGAATCTCGAGTGCAGTGGAGTTTTCAATATAGGCGAGCTTACGATCTAAGTTATTCGGCAGCCTTTTTAATCCTCACGTTCTATGTTTATTTACAAAATATATTGATAATAAGTAGATAAGGAACTAAAAATGTTTGCGTCAAATTTCAGCTTTAGCGGATGTGATTATTCACAAAAGTTACCCGCCAAATCGACGGATTTCGGTAAAAATGACTATACCGCATGCAAACCATACCAAAGCACAGCAACAAAAAGCCCAGTGTGATCTTCTTGATAAAATCAAGTGTACCAACAAACCAATCTGTTGAGCTCAGCCCCTCCCAACACTGAAAAGTCGTCTTATTTTCTGCAAAAATCTTTGAATTTATTGAAAGTCTTCCATATTTTGAATAGATTTTAGAAAGTATGCAGCTGATGATGGCTTATGTTTGCATATTCGAAAATTCCTTTCCCATAATTGAGAAGATTTTGTGTGTGTGTGTGATATTCTTCTTGAATAGATTATAAATAATTAGAAGAACTACTACTACTACTATGTGGTTGTTGTAAAAATGCTAAGAAAACTCTGCTAATTGTGTTGAATTTCTTTCGATGAATTTCAAAGAAAATTACAACAATAACGTAACAACAAACTTCGATTATAAGGACTAAGGTGCATAAACGTTCGGTTTTTATTTAAGGCACACACATGCCAAGATTTATATACAACAAAGAAAATTTTGTATTTACAGGTTTGATTGAACATGAAAAGCCAAATAAATGTTTGCACATAAATATATTCGCAACACATGTGCACACGTCATAGTGTCTCCACTCAGGCATATACATTCGACGATAATAAGTCCACCCACTCTAAGCTGTACTAAAGTATTAAATGTAAAATGACCTGTAAAATACATGTAAAGAAAGCACGATGACTGAAGATAAAGGAAGATAAGAGCATTAATAAAAAAAAAAAAAT